AAAACAAAATTGTTTTTTCAAGCAACATCAAAAAACAAATTGTAATTTAAATGCTTTTTTGAAGGCAGGCACTGATTGTTTAGAGCGCAAAGCTTCCGGCAGAGAATTCCAAAAATCGGCAATTCTGTAAGAAAAAGACCTTTTAAACAGTTGGGTGCTATGAGGCAGGATAGACAAGCAGTTCTTTCTGCGGACGTTTATAGAGGGTGTTTTTTTAAGCCAGATAGAACTTACGAAAGGGTTAACTGTCAAACGAACTGTGATACTGCGCTCATTTTTTGATATTTATGATCAGTATACTCTGGCAAATCATCATGAACAGATTGACGCTTGAACAACGCTACCATATTATCCAGATTTACTTTGAAAATCCGTCATCAATTTGCATAACTTATAGACGACTTCGTGATTTGTATGGCGCACATAATCGTCCATCTGAGCAAGCCACTCGTCGAACTGTGGAGAGATTTCATACTACATAGTCTCTAAATGATGCAATAAAATCACCACGTCGAAGAAATGTGCGTGCTGAAGAGAATATCAGCGCTGTAAACGAAGATTCAAATTTATAGATTCGTTGTCGGTCGCAGGAATTAGGGCTTTCTCCGTCTACTACGTGGAAAATTTTGCCCAAAGATCTTGGCCTACACCCGTTTAAATTCCAGCTGGTGCAGGAATTAAAACTACGAGACCATCATATGCGTCGTTCTTTCGCCGATTGGACTCTAGAGCAGTTGGAAACTGATCCGATGTTTTTGATTGACATTTTTGCCTTAACGGGCCGCATATGGAGTGAAACCAATCCACAACAGACCCTACAGACTCCATTACATCCAGAAAAATACACCGTTTGGTGTGGTTTGCACGCTGGTGGCATCATTGGACCTTATTTCTTCAAAAATAAAGTCGGAGCTCGCGTTACCGTCAATGGAGATCGTTACCTCACCATGATCAATGATTTATTGTTTGAAAATATGGATGATATTGATCCGGGCGAGATGTGGTTTCAACAGGACGGCGCTACGTGCCATACAGCGACCGCAATCATCGACTTATTCAAATCAAAATTTGGCGATAAGTTGATTTCGAGAAATGAACATGCCAATTGGCCTCCAAGGTGGTGCGATTTGACACCTCTCGATTATTTCCTTGGTTTATGCTGATAAACCAGCAACAATAGACACCTTGGAAACCAACATTGTTCATGTTATTCGTGACATACGGCCAGCAATGCTCGAAAAAGTGGCCCAAAATTGGACTTCCAGAATGCGCTTCGTCAAGAACAGCCGCGGAGCCCATATGCCCAAAATCATTTTTAAATGTTAAACGCTATAGATTGATCTTTCGATCACAAAAATTTTTTTGTTTAAAATTTAATTTTTTGTGTTACTTTTTTCAATTTAAAGTTCTATCGGCCTTAAAAAAACACCCGTTATTATGAACGTCCGTTCTAAATCTGATTTTATTGTGCAGGTAAGCCGGAGTTTTGAACATAATAATTTTGAAAAATAATACTCCCTCATGAAAAATTCTCTTTGCTTTCATACTCAGCCACCGTATCTCGGGCAAAAGATTGTAAAAGATTCTTTGATTTCGACGTATACCAAATATCAAACGGAGATACGCCCCCTGGACTCGTTGGACTCGTGCCGCAGCATCTGCATGCAGATGAGGTCCATAAACAGCGTTGCAGTGATTAAACCGAGAAAGTATCAACGTACCAGTGAGCAAGGCTCTACTTTGCGTGCTTAAAATGTGACGGTTGGCGTATAAAAACTTTAGCGTGGCATACGAACATCTAATTAAGTGATTGATATGTGTATTAAAACGCATATCCGAATCCAGCCATACTCCCAAGAGTTTCACAGTATCAACTACGCACAATTCATCGCCGCCCACACGAATGCTCAATGATGCTCTGGCAGGACCAAGGTCTTTACTTCTACCGAATATAATAGCTGATGATTTCGGAAAAGCTGAAACGGAAAGCTTAAATATAGTTGTGTATCATCCGCATAAGGTTGTAATTTACAGTAACGGACGTATAACGAGAAGGCACTAGTATAGTATAGGATAAATAAGCAACATTTGATGACTGATAGTGTCAAATGCCTTAGAATAGTCAAGCGTCACCAGGGCCGCATCAAGGCCAGAATCAGAGGAGCGCACAATGTCATCTGTAAGGTTTAAAAGAGAAGTAGCGCACGAAAAACCCGGACGAAAACCCGATTGGGAATCAGGCAGAAGATTATATTGAGTTAGGTGTGTTTGCAGCTGACGATCCACAATTTTTTCAACAACCTTGGAAAGGCCGAATAGAAGACAAATGAGCCTTAAATCGCTATAATCGGAAGGATTTGGTTTTTTGGGTATTGCAACAGCAATAGACTGTTTCCAGATGGTAGGGTATACATTTTCTGTTAAACAAAAATTTACGATATGTAAAATGTATCCAGATATAAAAGGAAAACACATCTTAACAAATTTTAGTGCTATGCCTAATCCATACCTAATTAACCTTCTTAATTAACCAGAAAAACCTTTTTTCCCTAGTTTAAACGTAAAACACATCTAGAACAATTTGAATCAGCAAAGTTTGAGTTATTTTAAATTGTTCTATGTGTTTTAATTCTTAATATGTAATTTAAAACTACTGACGCAAGAATTACTGACTGAAACTTCCTAAAACTTTAATTTTCAAAGAGTAAAGTGTCCTTTATAGAGTTGTTCTAGTGAAAATAATAGCTGTTCCAGATTGCTTTAGGTTTAATAAGTATATATTTGTAACATGGAATTGAAAATAGAAAAACACACAGCAATCAACTAGACATTTTAGCAGCCAAACCTATTTTTAGTTATAATTTCATAATGCTGTATCCCATAATTTTGGTTTTCTAGAACAATAATTAGAACAACCCAGAACAACAAAGAAAATCAGATTTTTTCAAAAATGGGTTGCTAGTCAAAAAATCCGTTTTTTCGGTTTTTCTCGCCAAGTTTTTATTTTTTCTATTTGCTGCTTTGGAATAATGTAGAACAATTCTAGAACATTCTAGAACAACAATGAAAAATTTAAAAATCAAAAAATGGGGGGCTGACTTCCCGCACTTTGTAAAATCATAAAATTTGAAGTGCTCTTTCATTCATCTAAAGTGCTTACCTACATATTGAATTGCATAATAATAAAACCCTTCCAGCTAAACGCTTATGGCTTTAT